TCAGATTGTTTTTTTTTTCTTGAGCTATGGTGTTCGAAAAATGGTCAGAACTGTCTTTTTTTTTATTATTGTCATGAAAAAGTTAACCTTTGACCTTTGGATATGAAATGTCATCACTTTCACTATTCTTTGTCAGACATATTATTATTGAGAATAGATAAAACTGTTTCTGTGGGGGTTTCAGAGACCTTGACCTTGACCTGTGAACACCGAAATCTGTTCAATTCATCTTGGGTCTGAGCAGACGTTTTCTTCAGATTTTATAGAAATCCCTCAAACCATTTCTGATATCACATTCACGAGTTTACCTTTTGACCTTTTAAAAATCTATCTCAGTTCATCCTTGAGTCTCTTAAGTGAAGTAGTCTCAGTTCTCCCACTTACTTCTATCAGGGCCTGAAACAAACTATGGTCACGATATAACGCAGTGTGCTGCTGACTGAGACAAATGTGCAATTTCTGTTGTACAGTTAATTTAAGCAGGGTAATAAGACCTGTCTGACAAATATCACAACGATATAACTCACAAGTTAGCTTTATGAAGGAAGGGGGTGAGTTCAAGTGAAAATAAAATAGAAAAGTAAGATTTGCAGGCAGGATTTAAGAACCTTTTTGACTCTAACTTTAATGCAATGAACAAATTATAACCTAAAAAAACTAATTATACATTTTTTAAATATCACAAAAACAAAACTAAAATGAAATTCCATATAATGAGTTTTTATTTTACCAAAAAGCACTTGAAAACTGGTCATTCCTTAGTTTATAAGACTTTGTGTTGCAATAATTAAAAAAAAGATAGGGGGCGATAGCAGAGAGCAAAAAGTGTGTGTATTTCAGTACGACCAATGTGTGTGTACAGAGGGTACTTTTTCTCAGTTTTGCACTTCTCTGGGACCCTCTTTGAAAACTTTGAGAAGAAGCATGTTTACAGCCTCTGGAGGCTATTGCAGTGAAAATCTAGTGAGGACCGGCCTAAATGTCCTCACTTTCAAAAATGTCCTCACTCGAAAAGGTTTAAAAACCCATGATGGTCCTCACAAATTAGCAGTACAAACACACCACACACACACACACACACACACACACACATGCACACATGCACACACGCGCACCG